ATTTCTGAAGACGGGTCTAGGCCCGAAACGTCAGCCTTCCTGCTCCTATGATGCTGCTTGGCCTGCTGTGTTCATCCAGCTCTACATCTTACTATCTTGGGAATGTGATTTTATTGTTCAACCTCTCTTTTTAAAAAAAAAAAAAAGATGCTGACCATTTATTAATTTTTAAAATAAATATCTCTGCTTTTGAGTTAGTGACACCACTGTTAACAAAATTAGTTTTCATTCTGACATCTTAAACTCTTTGTGATATTGGAAATTCTTGTGAATTATCTTTTTAATGTCTACAGTAATGTTGATAACATTCTCTTTGCTTATCTGCTTTACATTAACAGTTTGGGTTAATGAAATCAAAAGGTTTAATTGTGCCTTATGTTTATAAATATTTGCGATTCTGTTAACTGTCCTCTTCCACCTGCTTTGCTGCAAGAGGAATCTCCACTGTGTCCTGTGATCTTTTGGCTTGGTTAATGTGGTAGCCATTTGAATTAGTTGCAGTAGTAACATGATTACTTGCATTTCTGACCAGAATACATATGATAGGTAATTTCACCTCCATTGTGTCAGTCACATCTGCAGTAAGTTAGATTGATTTTGTGTACTTTATTTTGCTGCAAAAGTAATCAATTGTAGAGTTGATACTGCACTGAAAGCGTTCTCTGCTGGTCCACGTGGGTCTGTGTAGAGCAGTCCATGCAGTGCGATTAACTCACAATATTCCTGTATTCCACAGGCTTACTTTCTTTACATACCTATTCTGTGCCCATTTCAAATCACTGATCATCATCACTCTCTTAGATAATCTCCACTGTCTACTATACCACCAATGTTAGTGTCATTTGCAAATTTAGTAACCATGCTTTCTATATTCTCCTCTAAATCATTTATATAAAATGACAAACAAAAGTAGACTCAGCATCTATCCCTGTGGAATATGTAGAAGCATTAGAATTCCCACAGTGCGGAAGCAGGCCATTCAGTCCATCGAGCCCATACCGACCTTCCAAAGAGCATTCCACTGTGACCCACCCCCTCACCCTATCCCTGTAACCCTGCATTTCCACGACTAAGCCAACTAGCCTGCACATCCCTGGGCAGCATGGCCAATCCACCTAACCTGCACATGGAGCCGTAGAGCTGTACCGCATAGAAACAGGTCTTTCGGTCCAACTCATCTATGCTGACCAGATATCCTAAATTAATCTGTTCCCATTTGCCAGCATTTTGCCTACATCCTTCTAAACCTTTCCTATTCATAGACCTGCCCAGGTGCCTTTTAAATGTAATTGTATTAGCCTCCACCATCACCTCTGGCAGCTCATTCCATACATGCACCACTCTGTGCGTGAAAAATTTGCCACCTAGGTCCCTTTTAAATACTTCCCCCCTCACCTTAAACTTATGCCCTCTAATTCTGGACTCCACCACACCAGGGAAAAGACTTGGCTATTCATCCTATCCATTACCCCCATGTTTGGACTGTGGGAGGAAACTGGAACACTTGGAGGAAAAACACACAGAAACGGGGAGAATGTGCAAACTCCGTTCAGACAGTCGTCTGAGGGTGGAATTGAACCCGATTTACTGGCTCTGTAAGGCAACAGTGCTAACAACCGAGCCACCGGGCTACCTCATATGTGACCACTGGCCACAGGCCTCCAGCCCAAAAAAGCAGCCCTCCACCACTACTCTGCCTCTTGCCATTAAGTCAATTTTGTATCCAATCGGCAAGCTTGCCTTGAATCCCATGTGACCTACCTTTACTAATTAGTCTACCATGTGAAACCTTGTCAAGGCTTTACTGAAGTCCGAGTCAACAATGTCTACCGTTCTGCCCTTGTCAATCTTCTTAGTTACTTCCTCAAAAAACTCAACCAAGCTTCTCTTTTACTCTCTGTAAATCCCATCTTTCTTTCCTTAATTTCTACTCTGTTCTGAGCTGAATTTGACATTGAATTCAGCCATTTGTTTACATATTCATATTTTGCTTTTAACTTCGCAATCCTTCAAATTAAGATGATGCAGGTACGTTGTTCACTCGTTTGCAGATGGCCTGATTTCCTTGCTGCACTGTTATTAGCTCATTCTTTCATAATTTGTACGAAAAAAGGCAAAAACCTAAAGTGTGCAGTGATTTAGTGAAAAGCTTACTATCTTAATTAATGCCAGATGCTTTGGGGTGAGACTGGAGAATTAATAAATGGGAAACAAAGAAATGGCAGAGATTTTGAATAAGTGTTTTGTATCTGTCTTTACAGCAGAAATGCAAAAAAAATCCAAGAATAGTCGAAAATTTTGTTGCAGAAGGGAGTGAGGAACTTAAAACAATTGTGATTAGCGAGAAAGTAATGGAACCAAACGTGGCAAGTCCCTGGACCTGATAAATGGATGAATCTACAGTGTTTAGTTGTTCTTTTTTGAATAAGCCTGGCCGGTTATTTAGAAGAAGTCTTGAGTGTGCTACATTTTGCTTTGGCTCACGTTGTTGATCATGTGATTCAGACTAACATAGGCTCCTTTGTAAATAGAAATAACTAGCCATTGGCATTCCTTGAAGCAATCTGTGCTATTTGAACCACAGCGTGACAAAATATATGGCTACATTGTGGCTAATGACTTGTAGCAGCGCTTATGTTTTTAAGCATCCATCCTGTTGTAGTACTTAAAAGTTTATGCTGGAATTTTATGTTATTGGACTATCTTTTTAGATGTATGATATCAGAACAAGAACGAGTCTAATAATACATTGTTGGAAAAACCCATCCGGTTCACTAATGTCCTTAAGGGAAGGAAACTGCTATCCTTACCTGGTCTGGCCTACATGTGACTCCAGACCCACAGCAATGTGGTTAACTGTTAACTACCCTCTGGGCAATTAGGAATGGGCAATAAATGCTGCATAGCAGCGATGCCCTCATTCTGTTAATGAATAAAGAAAAAAAACCCAGAAATTTGGCCTGTGTGTGTGTGTCCCAATTCTGGACATTACTCTTTCAGAAGTGTGTGAAGTGCATTACAAAAGTGTGCAAAGTATTTCTGGAAAGAGGATTTTCAATTATATGGATAAATAGGAAAAGCTTGTTTGTTTTTCTTGGAGGAAAAACGTTTGAGGCAAGATTGTAAGAGAGGTAGTGAAAATATTGAGGGGTCAGGAGAGAGTAGCTAGAGAGAAGCTGTTTCTATTGATAGAAGGATCAAGAGCTGGAAGATAGTGATTTGAAATAATTGATAAAAGAAGCAGTGATGACATGAGGAAGAACTTTCTGCGGTGAATGGTTAGGATCTGAAATGCCTCTCTGAGATCGTGGTGGAGACAGATTCAACTGTGGCTTACAAAAGACAATTGGATAGTTATTTGATTCTTTATCTACCCTCTCAATTGTGTAACCTCTTTTTTCTTTTATTTCCACGATAATGAAAACAATTTTTTTACAGATTTCTCTGGGTAGCTGGGCTTTCAGAAGTAAGGACAGGAATGTGTGATTGTTTGAAAGAGTTGCTGACGATGTGTCTATTGTTTTAAAATAAAACATTTAAAGTGGTAGACAACCTTTGGTGGTGCCCTGGGAATGTGTCTATCATTGCAGATAATGCCACAATCAATATATTGGACAAGCACTGTGACAATGTCTATTTGGTTAGTGATTTTTCTGTATCAGAGCTGTGATGTTGGATGACCTGAAGGGAAGAACAGGAAAGGATGATGGCATAATTTTTTCGTCCAGCTGCTGTACTACTGTTTTCAATATATGGAGAAAACCAGTCGATGTTGCTTTGGCTTCAGGTATGGTAAAATGCAGTGCTGATGTACACACTGTCAAAATGGAACATGGTAATGAGCTGTAATTTTTCTCCCTCTGTTCAATTGCAGTTCATTTTAACTTGAATTGTGTGTGCAAATTGTAATGTGATTATATAGCTGATGGAACTTAAGTGTATTTTACTGACTTCTGATGTCTACACTGCATATTTGGCAAGAAATGAGTAGTTGAAAATAAATGTTTTATTTGTTACTTCAGATAGGACAAGATGAATATCAGGCACGTAAAGAAGAGATGACTGATGACTCAGTGAGAACAATGGCAGAAGGGGATGGTATCTCCAATCCACACATGTCACCAACAGAGAAATGTCACCACTCTGCAGTTCACTGCTGCCACCAGGTCCACAGGCAGCCAATATCATCCAGTAATCCTCATCAACAACAGCAACTTCAGCCATGCACAGCCACTCCTAATGGCACATGTACAAAGGTATGGATACAAGTTGGAAAAAGAGAAGAATATGCAGTTGAGGGGTAAAAGGAAAACCTGTTACAATATGATATCCCACTTACTACAAAGGGTGGGGGCTGGTATTTGTTTCTTTTGCATTAATTCTTCTTACTGTGGGTATTAAACATTTAGTTGACCCGAAAAAAAAACTGAATATGCTATAAGCGGAGAGGTGCTGAGAGTCTTGTATGTCTCTGTCAAGTAGCAATGCATTCAGCAGTCTGAGATTTAGAACTTCATTAGCTGATACTATTCTCATACAATCACAGAAAATTGCTGGAAAAGCTCAGTAGGTTTGGCAGCATCTGTGAAGAGAAATCAGAGTTAACATTTCCGGTCCTGTGACACTTCCTCAACTATTTTTGAATATAGACCAAAGCCAGATACTTGCTCACTCAGCAGCTCTGACTCACACTCATTCTTGCATTCTCTCGTGCATGCACAGATGCACACACTCCCCACTAACACTCCTGAAATCAATAAGCTGGTGTTTCTACATTTGTTGATTGTGTTCAAAGTGAAAGACCTCCGATTTAGAAATGAATTTGATGAAAAGGACCAAATGATAAGAGTGATGCTGATAATGTGCTTATAATTGCTTAGTTGCCTTTAACAATAAGATTCTGTTTGTGTGCAAACAGCTTGCTAGTAGCTCATTTCCATTTGAGTTAAACGGTCAACATTTTTAAAAGTTGTGGAAGCGTGAAATCTGTTTTGTCGTATTACTTCAATATTAATGCAATGATAAGCTGTACTTTTTAACAACCTGCTCAGTCTATTTATTGTCATTGAGAATAAAGTCAACATTACTTGCCACTCCCTTAAGTAAAGCAACACCGAAGTGTATCCGAATCCAGCAAGACCAAGTATCCCACAAAAAAAGACTACTTAAAGAAACACAAGCCAGCATACCATTTCCTGAGTTAGCCTAGTCGAACAGGGACTTAGTTCATAAATTAATTTCACATTCCTGGATGACTCAAAACGTTACAGCAAATCAAATTTAAGCATCCCACAACAGAGGGGAAAAAAGTACACACATTTTTAAGCTTTACTTTAGTACTACCTTAAGCCCCTCTATCTTCAAACCTCCTACAAGACATGTACTTTCCCAATTTTGGGTTTGAAATAGAATACCTGATAGGAAGGTGAAAACAGATTCAATAAAAGGTTTCAAAAGAGAATTGGATCAATTACTGAAACGTAAAGAAAAACACTAAGGCATGGGAAAGAGTCAGGTTATAGGACGAAGTGAGTTGGTTTTGAAAAGGGAGAACAATCTGCTTCTGTGATGTGCTATTCTAGGATTCTAATTCAACAATACACTTTAACATAATGAAAGCACATTTGCTTTTTAAACTCATATTGCATTGAACAGAAGAAAATTCATTTATTTTCTTGTCAATGCTGTCCTCTCCCTTTAATGATTCCTTACAGAAGTATGGTTCTGTGCATACTGTCTAATATCCAATCACTCATGCAAAAGACCATCATTTACATGGAACCCTTAACTGAAAGACTTTACTATCATGGCAGCACCAGAGCTGAACCTAACTCCATGCTTATTTGATATTCACAAATGCACTGTCCTAGCAAACAGAAACTGATAGGTGTTAGCAACATGAGCTCTTTTGATTTTCTTACCCCCTTCCCAATAGCTCAGAAGCAAGTGACAACTGTTGCACTGTCAGAGCCGAGGTCAGTCTAGAAGTTGAATCTGCAACTTCAATTCATGCGTGGTTTAGAAATATAGTTAAAAGGGGCTTAATTTCAAATATTCAGTGGAGATAAATACAGCACTAAGGCGCATTTTATCCCAAGCAAAGGTCACATGCATACAGCTGTGCACAATGTTATCTTTACCAAGGTCCAATTAATTTTCAAGACCTCTAAACTGATCCAAAACTCTCTTCAAATTCTTATATTAACAGATATAATGCACATTGAAATGAAATTCATGAGAAATAGATACACAAGTAGATATCACAATGAGATTTTTTTTGACATCTGAGTGGCAAGTAATGTTGACTTTTCTCAATGACAATTAATAGACTGAGCAGGTTGTTGAAAAGTAGAGCTTGATCTAAATTTAGTTTTATACATTTGACACAAGCTGTTTAGAAATTATTGCAACGAGAGTTGTTTAAAATTACTTATTTAAACGAAATACAAATGACAATTTGGTGGACCACTGAATTTTGAAATTTGATCAATAATCACCATACAATGGGTAATGGATTTAGCTTCTGTAGTAGAGATTTGACTGCATTATCATTTGGATTTGCTCTTGATTTTCACATTTGACTTTAATAGTCATTTTGGATATTGCAAAGAGGCACGGTGGTTCAGTAGTTAGCAATGCTGCCTCAGAGCGCCAGGGACCTGGGTTCGATTCCACCCTCGGGTGACTAAGTGTGGAACTTGCACGTCCTCCTTGTGTCTGCGTGGGTTTCCTCCCACAGTCTAAAGATGTGCAGGCTAGGTGGATTGGCCAGGCTAAATTGCCCGTAGTGTTCAGGGATGTGTTGATTAGGTGGGTTATGGGGGGGATGGGTCTGGGTGGGATTCTCCAAGGGTCGCTGTGGGCTTGTAAGGCTGTAGAGCCTGTTCCCATGCTGTGGGGATTCTAAAGGTGTTGAAGAGATTCTTTGATTCCTATCCTTGTTATACATTTTAGCTATTTAGACTTGTGGCTTTCTGCCTCAGAACAATTTATCTTTCAGTTGCTTAAAATTCGTATGTTCCGATTTAATTCTAACATTAAGTATTTTTCACTTGACTTTTCCATTTGTGTTTTATTAGGAATCAAGCAATGTAACTAGTGACTGCTCAAGATCGCCCTCCTGTGTCTCTGTAAAAACCAATTCTGTTCAATGTAAGAACATGTCCAGAAGGCCAACGCCACCAGGTAATGTCCTGTAAACTCCTTACCGGAATCCTGTCGAATGGTATATGTTGATGCCCTATTACGTTGCACTCGGCTACCTTGTTTAATGAATTCTGTCCTGGAGTTGGAACAGATCAAAGGTACAGTGAAACTCATTTTAAAATGAAGTTAAAGGTTGCTTTTGTAATAATTGTGCAGTATATCAATTACATGTTCTTCCTTTTGGAAAAGTAATACACATAGTACGAATCTGTGAACGCAAACTTAGTATTCAGAAATTTCAAGCTGACTCCACAAATCTATCAGTTGGATGAAACAATACCAGCAAATCGTCTAAATGCTTACAGATTGATTGTTAGGACATGCACAATTAAATTGTATGTAATATATGTGAACTGATTTACCAAATTCATTAATTTTTGACTTCAGTGATAGTGTTTTCCCTATTACGTACTTAGAAATGTGATTGAGTTTTGAATAGTATTGCATCTGTCCACTTTATCTTGTGTATAATGGTGAAAAAAGACATATTTCAAGCATTAAATAAAAACAAAACAGAAATTGCTGGAAAAGCTCAACAGGTCTGGCGGCATCTGTGGAGAGAAATCGGAGTTAACATTTCAGATCGAGTGACCCTTCCTCAATGGAATTTCTGTTTTTGTTTCATACTTCAAATATTTGTGGATGCCATGTTGATAAGGTGGTGTTGGGAAGTTTGTTAGTACTTGAATTTTGATAAGGCACTTTGACTGGGTGAGATGCATCCAGGTGTTCTGAGGGAAGTATGTTTACAATTTGTAGAAATTATGAAGACACTGACTAAAATACTCTGGTCTTCCCTGGGCTAAAAGAATTGCAGGAGCAGATAGATGCAGGGGTAAATGTGCATAAATCAAAGGGTGATTAGACAGTTTGAGAAATTGGTTAAGAATGCATAACATATCCTAGACTTTTTTGATGGACAAATAGATTAGCAAACCTATTAAACTGTGTTTTGACTTCAGCTGAAGTGTTCAGTTCTGGGCATCGTACTTCAGGAAAGATGTGAAAGTATTGCAGGGAGTGCAGAAAAGATTCACAAGATTGTTCCGACGGGTGAGAAACTACAGTTCTGTAGATTAATTGGAGAGGTGGGGCTCTTTTCTTTTGAGGTAAAGGTATTTTAATATGGATCAAAGATTTGACACTAGTTTAGGGTTTGGCACTGTAATGGTTTCCAATGTGGTAAATCTATTGGTTTCAAACTTGTCATTACTCAGTAGGAATTGCTCATTAGTAGCTGCAAAATGGTATTGACTAACCGGCAATATGAGGAGTAAAGGAAGTTGCTGGGGACAGTGTGGAGAATGTGGTTCCTTATAGGGGCTAAAATGGGATATCAGTTTTTAGGTTTGCGTTCTTCCTGATTTTAAATCTATTTTCACGTATTCAAGAATCTGTCTATTATCTGTTTTAATTTCAGTAATGCAGTGTACCAATATCAGTGTTTATTCAGCTACAAAATCTATGCATTTGACCAAATTAACGGGTGTTCCATTTCTTGAGTTAATCTAATGTTCAGATTACACTATTTGTATAACCTAAAGGGTTTTGTCTTCCAGGTGGAGAGTTCCACTGCTCTGAAGACCACAGGTATTCCGTCCTAGCGGCACCACCCAACAGTCCCACTGGTTTGTCCTCCCATCAGCATCCTCTTGCAACTTCAAAGTCTCCTCAAGTTATTACTGAGCCAACGGTTTCCATTCATCAACATGAACATGCAACTTCGGCAACGTCATGTACCATGCCCCACAGCACTGTCACCTCCACCGATTCAAATCGGAGATCATCCATGACATCTGGTATCCCACAGATTCTGCCTCATGTACCCAAGACTTCTACAGTTACTGTGACAACTGCTACACCTCCAGATGTGTCTTTGATTTCAAAAACTTCTGCTGCTGCTGCTTCTACAGGTGTGCTTGTGACCCCAGTGCCTCCAAGTGCTAACCCTCATATTTCTAACAGTGGGTTGTCTTCTTTCCCGAAGTCTACAACAGCTGGCCCTATTTGTGTCAGTCACTATAACGGATCTTGCCCCGTAACACCCTCACCAAACCCAGCTGCTCCAGGCAATGGTATCTGCAGGTTAGTATTTGCCTCAAATTTGGAAATTTTATCTAAGATGTCACCCTGTCAATGTTTGAGTTGTCTTAGACCCATAGTTGTTTGATGCATGTGTAATAATGTTCATGACAGAAATATAAACATAGAATTAAAAACTTGGTTTTTCTTTATATGAGTTTCAAACATCCGAGCAAAGTAGTAGCTAAAATCTCTGAACCTTCTATACACAAATTCAAACCTTGCTTGGCTGGCATTTCTCACGCTGGAAGAACTGATGAAGATTGCTTCCTCATCCTGAATCTTTTTCAGTACTGAGGAAACATCCCTTTACTGCTGTTCTTATTGATTTGAAAATATTTTCAAGGTTGTGATAGAAGGAAGTATGTCGAATTTAGTGTAGAATTTTCACTAGCATAAAGATGAAAGTGAAAGACTTTTGGATCTTTTGGATTTTTCTAAATGTATGAAATAACAGTGTAGAAATTGCTACTGGGCATATGAACCACGTAGTTTGTACTATAAAGTCAAGCTAGTTATGGGTGCTAACTTATGGAGCATTCACATTAATTTAAACTTTGGTTCTTCAGATGATTCATCAATCGATTACCTTATTAGCTCTGAGATTAATGAACTAAAAGGAGAGACTATTAACAATATATGATATTGGAGAGAGGGAATGTTTGTGAAAATATACCACTTTTTTTTCATTAAAACAAAAGTTTTAGTTTCAGGATTGTATCTCTTGAATATTTTAAATTAGCTTTAAATGGATTCAGTTTTCTCAAGTGCTTTCAAATGCTGTTTTAAATTCTACTCATTGTCTAATTTATTTTGATTCTAAAAAAGTCTGTGACTGGCTTTGGATGTTCCTTTTATCAGTTGAGTTATTTCTGTTAATTTTCAGTGCTGAGTTTTTCATATTTTCCTCCAAGATGTTCAAGTCTGCATTTTAGTACCTTATGGATAATGAACACATTTGGTTCAAAAGCAGCAGAAAGCTTTTGTTTTTGTGCCATTGTGCAGTATGGCTGAATCCACTCTCTTGACTGGGGATGGAGTAAGTTTAAATACTTTGTCTAGTGCCCATTTGCTGCCTCTGGGTTGTATAGTATAGAGGCAAGGTTTTAATCAGTCGGATAATCAAAAAGGTGTTGAAGCCCAAAAAATTTAAACAAACAAAAACAAAACATAATAAAAGATGAAAATGTCTGGAAAATATGCACAAGATTAGTGACAGTGACAAAAATAAATGAATGGCTATGTAATCATGTGCTGAAATCAGGATATGCTTTTCTTTGTGCGTTGGTTCTGGAGTATTTGTTAGAAATTAAATTCATTAACCCTCTTAGTGTGTGCTGGAGATATAAGTGCTGCTGGACTTGCAAACCCCTTTGTTTATAAACTTGGTTGTTGTTGCATTTAGGGACCAGTCATGCAAGAGTCATCTGTGTACAAATGAAACTGCCTACAGCCCCACACAGATGCACAATGCAGATGAAAGTCTGGAAGAAGATGATAGCTGTTCAGAGCATAGTTCGTGTACGTCTCACACTGCCAATCAGAAGGAAGGAAAATACTGTGATTGTTGCTATTGCGAGTTCTTTGGTCATGGACCGGTGAGTGCAACAGAATGGAAAGATGATGTTGAAAAGAAGTTATCTGAATTAAGGTGCATTATTCTTTCATAGACTGAACAAGATTGGCTGTTGAATTTGTTTATGAAACATTTGTTTATGAATTTCTTTTGAATTCTATCTAATGCGTTTTAGGACATCCTGAAGGTTTGAAAGACTGTAAATTGCCTATATGTCCTTTCCTTCAGGCCAAGAAGTTCAAATTTCAAGGAGGCATTGTAAAATTGTACATTTTGCAATAGTTATTTTGAGATACTCTTAACTTTGAAGCATACATGACTCTAGTAATTATTTAAGTTTTGCGAAATACTGTATTTAGTTATGCTACCTGTTAAACAACAAATTTTGCCCCACACTTCCTTTGAAGGCTGGTTGGAAGAAAGACTGATAAAAGTGGAATCATTGAAGTATATTGTGCAAAAAGATGTGTTGGATCAATGGATACTGTTAGAATCTATATGTATGTTGTTCCTTTATTTATGTCATCCATGCACCTATTTAGAATAGTCGGAACTGAAGACACAATACTTAGTTACTGGGTGAGGGTACTGAGAAAAGATACTTACGAAATTGCAAATCAAACAAGTGAATTATTACAAATTTAAAAGCTTCAAAGTAGGATTCAAGTTCTGTTTTGCAACCAATCTCAAACATCATGAATGCATGCTAGAATCAGAGATTTTGAATTTGCAGAGATCACAATAACTATTTGTTTGCATGTTGACAAAATAATTGTGTTTACAATTCTGTTCAAGCCTCCTGCAGCTCCAACAAGTAGAAATTACACAGAAATCCGGGAGAAACTAAGGACGCGGCTGACAAAACGTAAAGAGGAACTCCCGCAAAAATCGAGCAATGGGTCAATCCGGGAACCACCAGTAGATGACAGGAATGTTGAAGATCTGTTAAACTACATCAACAGTTCAGAACAGAAACCAGTCAACAGTGCCAAAGCAGCTAAAAGGGCACGGCACAAACAGAAAAAGGTGCATGTGATTTTGTTTCGCTAGCTATGTGGAAGGAGTTTAAGAAAAGGAAGATTGATTCCTCTTTGCGTGCAGAACCCAATTTATATGCTCATTGGATAATTTGATTGTGAGGAACGCTGATTCAGTTGTGTCAGCTAGCTTGTAGCAAAAGGACCTATACGTAGAAACATTGAAAATTGGAGCAGGGGAAGGCCATTTGGCCCTTCAAATCTGTCTCACTGTTCAGTATGATCACAGATGATCATCCAACTCAGTATCCTGTCTTGCTTTCTGCATATACTCACTGACCCCTTTAGCCCTAAGAGCTATGTCTAACTGCCTCTTGAAAGCATTCAGTGTTTTGGCCTCAACTGCTTTCTGTGGTGGATAATTCCACAGGATTATCACTTTCTGGGTGAAGAAATTTTTCCTTATTCCTATCCTATGTGGCCTACCCCATAGTGTTAGACCGTAACCCCTGGTTCTGTGTAACCCAGTCATTGGAAACATATTTCCTGTGTTTAGCCTGTTCTAGTCCTGTGAGATTTTTTAGGTTTCTATGAAATTCCCCCTTATTCATCCTAACCCCAGTGAATCTAGTCTCAACAGATCCAGTCTCTTTCATTTGTAGCTCCTGCCATCTCGGGGCTTAATTATGTGTTTGCACAGATTTATTCTACCAGTAATCCCTGACAGCTGCTTTAAAATGCAGGCAGACCAAGAAATTGCATCTGAATTTTCACCCAGCAGTTGCCTGTATCTTTTTTAAGTTAAGTGAGGAACAAATAAGATATGCCTATTGTTTTGTCTTTTACCCAGCCAAATTTGTTAACTGGCAAAGCCAGGACTTGATATTGAGTTTTTATCAATACTAATGAACATTGTCAACTGTAAATTCAAGTTCCGTTAGTTCAACTTTTTCTCTTAAATACTGGATTCTTCCTACTTTTTTTAATATAAAAAATTGACTGAGTTATCATAAATGGCTTGTGTAAGTAATATTGATGGCATTGTATTTAAATACCTGTTGCTGCTATTTCACTCCTGTATTGAATTTCAAATAATTAACTTGTTTTTATACTGTGTAAACTTTGACATCCATTGTCTAGACTCGACTTTATTAGTTGTATCTAGCTGCACATAAGGCAGTGGCCGCTTTAGTTATGGAAGTAACTATGATCCTTTGGGATGATGACCATGATAAAATATATATTTTGGAAACAGCTCAGTTGGCTGGATGGCTGGCTTGTGATGCTGAGTGAAGCCAACAGCATGGGTTCAATTCCCACACCAGGTGAGGATACCATGAAGGACTCTGCTTCTCAACCTCTTCCCTCACCTAAGACATGGTGACCCTCAGGTTAAATCACCACCAGTCGTGTGTCTTTAATGAGAGAGCAGCCCTATGGTAAGACTATAGTGACTTTACCTTTATTACTTACCTCCTTTTAAGACCATCATTTAGATACATTTCATCTGACCAAGCTATTGAAACTCTTTGCTAATTGCTCACTGTCTCTCAATGCAAACATCTTATACCTCTATGAAATGTGTTGAGTCTGTCTTTGTACTTTAAAAATGCCACTTGGCACAATTTGTTTTTTGGATTGGAGTCATCTGTGATTTAAGTAGGTGCTGGAAAAATGTATTGCCTGTTGAATTTCCAGCCTATACTGAAAGCCTGGAATCAACAGCTGGTTTCAGTTGTGCAACCTCGGCTTTAATGCTTCACTTATTTTTGTGCTTTAGCAGGAGAAAGCCCGCTCTGAGGTTTGTGATCAAAGATCAGAGAAACCATGTCCATCTACAATGCATATTCAGGATCTGGAAAAAGTTTCTGCAATTAATCAACACATCCAAGAGGGGATAGAAGAAAAAGTCTTAATATTCAACCAGCATGTCCAAGAGGATATAGAGGACAAAGTTTCAAAGCTCAACCAGCATATTCAAGACGATATAGAAGAGAAACTGAATCAACAAGAACTATGGCACCAGGTGGAGTTGCAAAGAGTGAGCAGCATCTTAACCACCAGATTGGAACAGCTTAAAGATCGAATCAGAGATTCTATCAAAGCAAACTTCGGTCTGTGTGATTTGCCCAAGGATGACTTTCCAGAACTGACATCTGTGGAGAAGGGTTTACTGATAGACAGCAATGGCATCATGGATAAAGAAGAGGCAAGAATATTAGGCCATCAGAAGCTCAATTTGAATTTGTCCTTAACATCAGGAGTTGTGCAGAATCACTTGTTGAATGGAAATAAGCATGCAGTCATCACAAATCGAGATCATAATGGCTCTGATATGGTTTTGTTGGAAAACTCATTGGGAAAGAAATCAAAGGGTTCAAAGTCTGATAATATTTCTACACTCCGACTAGAGGATGCTGGTGCAGTAGTACTGCATAAACCAACCACAGAATCAAAAGTGACACAGCAGATGTCAAGAAGTGGGAAACAACCAAGGCAGCCCAAGCAACAGACTTCTGAGGAGACCAAGAGCAAAAATGTGGTTTCAAGAAAAGATCATGAACAACCCACAGCTCCAAAAGTGCAGGGTTCCAAACAGCATTCAGTTACTACTAAACATAAGACAAATCAGAATCATGATGGCAAGTCAGCAGAGACTTCAAGAACTGTAACTGCCAAAGGTGATGAGTCCAAGCAAAGCAAGTGGAAAGGAATTGGTATTCTTTGCAGCTCTGAAACAAGTGAAGACAGGAAAAGTAATACTAAATATTCAAATAATGAGAAGGTGGAAGGATCTGAAACAAGAGGAGTTAAGGAAGAGCAACAAATAACAACTGACGGCTCTCAGCCAAAAGGCAAGAGCAAGAAAGGGAAAAAGAAAAAACAGGACAAGACCAACAACTGCGTTGGTAAGTTTTAATCAGGGAATTTTTGTTCTGATATTTTTATCACTTCAAAAGTTCCTGTGACTGAATGGGCAATTCTTGAAATACTGAGAGCAGGCCTGAGATTTGAAATTTTGACTATTGGCGATCTCTTTGAAGTGACAGCCTGAAGTGGCGTCTCCAGTTAATAATTTAAAGACAGTGAGCAGATTTATGAACAGAGGTATTGCAAAAATGAGAAAACTATTCAGTGGAGGCAGTAAGCAATACGAGCTGCCTAAAAAGATTAAAGATGTCAAGGGAACGTTGTAAACACAATTATCCAGGGCCACCGTGCCTAATGTAATGAGGGGACTATAATAAAATGGAAATAATTTTTTATTTAAATCTTTAAGGGAAGAATTTAATATTATCAGAGGCTCTCAATTTTGGTTAAAGCTTTGAAATGTTTTCCTGGTACACTTTTTTATTCAGTTACTTAATGACAGTATTAAAATGATGAAAGATGGTGCTTGCATCTTGTTTTGTGAGCAGTATTAGTTATTATATATTGTCCTTGAGTCATATTAGGAGCTATAGGGCAGATTTTCCACTGGCCAGACATTTGTTATGCCAGCGTAGCTAGGGGTTGTGAATGGGTTCCTTTGGAATCTCCATCGTAGCAGAATCTGAAGGAATTTCCCAGGAAATTTAATTATCCTTTGGGCAATTCCATTACACCTGGGACCCTCCATAAAAATCAGCTACTTGGAATGTTATGATGAAATTACTTAAAATAATTAGGCAGGAAAAGTTAGACGATTAAATCTAAAGTCTTATACAGAAGTAACCTCGCAACCACCGCTAAACCTTGACCTGACATTTTCGGGACCCAGTCACCTATTCCCTTCTCCCTGTTTGACTGGATTGGATTTGACCCACCGCAAGCTGCTCACCCTGACCTACCCTAAATACTTACCCAAACCTTTTACACCCTACCCTATGTCTTTCCCATGGCACTTTACCCCCATCTCCATTTTATATTTCTTCTTCTCATTTATTGCCACTCTGTGGAAAATCTAGCCCTACATTTCTGCCATTCCATTTTGCCATTTATTTCTAATGGGTTCATTCTGATTTAGGACTCAGAATTTATATTTTCTTGAAATAGTATGTATTTTAAAAAAATACATAAAAAATTAAAAAAATACCCAAGCTCCTCCTATTCCTTTAATGTCCCTGCATTAGTTTGCACTTGATTTGAAGCTTTTTTAAGGAAAGATGTAGATTATAGATTAGAAAAAATTTCTTTTGGCCATGTCTTTAATAGCTCTGAAATACTTGTTATGACACGAGTGCAGTTTGCCTAATGAATGTCTGTATTCAATAAATACAGCCTGATACCACTTTTTTTAATGCTGTGGGCTTCAACCTCATTGTAAAGTCTAGTATATGTCATTTTATTAATTGCTTTTGAAAATGTGTATGTGTTACAACAGCCACGCTACCTTAATTAATAGTCTGATACTTTGTTGAAAGAATTGAATCAAATAGGTTGAGCTCAATTTGCCACTTTCAAGTCAGGGCTGTCTTTCCCTAATTAATCTACACTAGTCCAGTTAACTGTTCATTTTATTCCACCTTATCATCCCTACATGTCTCTCCATCACTGATTCGTTTATATTTCCTGGACATATCCTTTCTCCCTGTTTTGTATGACCTTATCTGTTACATTTCTGCAGTTTTCTGGCAACCCCACACTTAAAACATAGAATAGTACAGCACAGGAATGACTCTTCAGCCCACACTGTTGTGCTGAACATGATGCCAAATTAATCTATCCCTTCTGCCTGCCCTTGGTCCACATTCCCCTGTTCCTTGCATTTTAAAGAGCGTATCTAAAGCCGTTTAAACACCCCTAATGTATCTGCTTCCATGACCACCCCTGGCAGTGCATTCCAAACTCCTGCCACTCTGTAAAAAGACTTGCCCCTCACATCTCCTTTGAACTTGTTCCTCTCACCTTAAATGCATGCCGTCTAGTATTAGACATTTCATTCTGGGGAAAAAGATTCTGACCATCAACCCTATCTATGCATCTCATAATTTTATAGACTTCTATCAAGTCTCCCCCAGCCTTTGCTGCTCTAGAGAAAACAACCTATGTTTTTCTAGCCTCTCGTTATAGCTCATACCCTCTAATCCAAGCAGCATCCTAGTAAACCTTTCCTGCGCCATCTCCAAAGCTTCCACATCCTTCCTGTAATGTGGTGACCACGTTTGAATGCTATCCTCTTAAGTATGGCCTAACCAAAGTCTTTTAAAGCTGCAATACGACATCCTGACTCTTGTACTGAATTCCCCGTCTAATAAAGGCAAGCATGAATGAGTTGGACCGAAGAGTCGGTGTCTGTGCTGTACAACTCTATAACTCTATGAATCTATTTGATCTCCCAAAGTGTAGTACCTCACACTTGCCCGCATTGAACACCTTCTGTCATTTCTCTGCCCATATCTGCAACTGATCTATATCCCACAGTTTATGCCGGTTTCAAAACTTCCAGTTTGCTGGTTCCAGCTGTCTCCTCTTTATCATGGGCATGCAAACCCTTTACACATCCATTCCCCACCAGGAGGGTCTTAGGGCTCTCCCCTTCTTCCTGGAGCAAAGACCTGAACCGTCCCCGCCCACCACCCCACTGCTTGGCCGAGCTCGTCCTCATCCTGAATAACTTCTCTTTTAACTCCTCTCATTTTCTTCAGGTAAGAGAGGTGGCCATGGGTACCCGCATGGGCCCTAGTTATGCCTGTCTCTTCTTGGGGTACGTGGAACATTCCTTGTACCAGTCCTATTCCGGCCCCTACCCACAACTGTTTGTCCGATACATCGGTGATCTCATTGGTGCTGCTTCCCTGTCTTGTCTGGAATTGGAAAATTTCATCAATTTCGCCTCCAATTTCTACCCTGCCCTCACTTTCACCTGGTCTATCTCTGACTCCTCCCTTCCCTTCCTCGACATTTCTCTGAAGAAGAGTCACCAGACCCGAAACGTTCAGTCTGTTTTTTCCTTCACAGATGCTGCCAGACCTGCAGAGCTTTTCCAGCAACTTTGTTTTTGTTCCTGTATCCCACAGTATTCTTTGGCAACCTTCTAGATTATCCACAACTCCTCTGATATTGTCTGCAAACTTACTAACCTACTGTCTTCGATCACAGAATGTATCCAAGCGGTTATTTTCGGATTCAGTTAAATGTGGTTAAGAGAAGGCTAGATGACAGCAATTTGCTTAAATATGAACATTTATTGAGTAATAGTAAAAGACAAAAAAAAGGAACATTGATGAACTAATTAAAAAAATGGAAAAGAGAGGAAAAAAAAACAATAAGCTTGACGCCCTTCTGCCCATCGAGGATCCCTTGATCGACAGCTGTTCTGGTTGTTCCTGGTGATCCCTGTCCAAGGTGAACTCCAGCAACTTATATAGTATAACAAATAGCAAGGCTCAGAAAAATCTACAGATAAGCAAGTTGATTGTGCTGACTTTGGTATGTACAAGAATATTTCCACAGTGCTTCCCTAACACTGAAATGTGTTATTGATGAATGGCTTGATGTGCTGAGGGTGCCTCATCCGTCACTGTGTTGCAATGTTAAAATTCTGCAAATGGGTTCAGCCTTCAGTGTCTCCAGTTTCTTTTAAAAAAGAAATGAAATTCATCCATTTCATGTTAAGCAGAATGAGTTAATTAGCATTAAGCTGGTACAGATACAAAAGAGGGTGGGGTGTAAATCCTTGCCCGTAATTATGTCATCTGTCTCTCCTCCTCCTTGAAGCCCACCCCTTTTGTTAAATTTGCCTTTCCTAATCTCCTCACACACATGGAGTTGCATTTTCAACATTCTAATGTTCCATTAACAATCTTATCATCCGGAATTAAAAGCTCACTCATGTTAAAACAGTATTTGGAAGTTCACTCTGGCCAGAGAATGAAATTCCAAACTTGGTAATTTCTGGAATTAAAATTTACCCAAGTCCAAACATACAGCCAATTCCAAAAGGTAAATTTTTACCAAGGCTTACAAACCAAATTTTTGTATCAACATTTTGTTGCAGATTTTTTGCTTTACACAGCCACTGATGGTTTCTTAAAAGGATATTACATTAACCATACATGTTCCACACTAATATAGGCACACATAGGCTCATACCACACTTTCAAATCACCATTCCCAAAATGCAAACTAAAACTTCAAAATATCCCCAGATTTTGAGCTCCAGGGAACAAAAAGACTCAAATTATACAAAACAACATTTAGCAACCAACAAACAAAGGTGCATTCAAACCAGGCCATAAAGATTTAACACTTCTACAAGGTTCAGTGCACTTGAACAGTGCAGAAACCTGGCTTCAAGTTCTCTTCCTTCCGGGGGTCCTAATTGTGCTAACGTGTGAGCTACAGACCCGAATCCGGGGCCTGCTGCATTCTGCCCTGAAATACAGAAGGTCTCGAGCATCAAGTTGCTTTTTCCTTCTCTTAAACATTTTCCTGAATCTCATCCTCGTCACCAAAAATGTTTTGGATCACAGAGTGTATCCAAGTGGTTCTTTTTGGATTCAGTTAAATGTCGTTAAGAGAAGGCTTGACAGCAGCAATTTGCTTAAATATGAACATTTATTGAGCAATAATAAAAGACAAAAAAGAAAGGAACATTTATTAAGTAAATAAAAAAAATGAAAAAGAGAGGACCAAAACAATAGGCCATATGCCCTTCTACACATCAGGAACCCCTCGATTGATGACTGGTCTGGAGGCTGAGGTTGTTCCCAGCACCGATCCTGGTCCGAGGTGAAGTCCAGCAACTTGGAACAAAACTCTCTCTCTTTTACAGTGTATCAAACAGCAAGGCACAGAAAAAACAATTACAGAAAAACACGTTTGTGTCGTCTTCGGCATGTATAGGAATGTTCACAGGATTCATTCATGGTCATGCAGCTGCCTTTCCAATTACATATGACTAAATGTATGGAACTTGTAAACTATGTTATCTCAAGATTCATTGCTGCACATCACAAAGAGTTGTGAATAAACAGATGGAACACAGTAGCAGAATTTTAAAAAATTTAAATAGTGAACAGTGTGATCGTTTTAATGATACAAGATATATGTTTGCGAAAATTGAGACTTCATAATCAGCTTATATTTACACTTCACCCTTGTTTATCATGGGAATAGATGCTCAAATGATCTTTATTATATTTAGAAGGTGCAGGTTAAATGTTGTGTTTATATATGACATAGGTGTGCTTTTACATTTTGGCACTTAACTATTGACAGTGAATACAGATGATGACTGATCACCCTAATTAGAAGCTAGTTCCTTTTAAAGACACTCTGTGCCATTATATTTATAGAGGTACTGGCCTGTCTAGCCTGTCTTCAAAAGTGGACAAGTGCAGGGAACTACATGAAGAAGAATGTGAAAAGTATAATGTTATGATTTTGTAACATTTATTAGTCATATTTTATTGTATGCAATTTTTGTACTGTTTTAATTATGTTCCTAGTTCAGAGAACTGATGAACTTGCAGAAGGGCAAGACAGTATGTTGGCATCCTCTGACACTCCAAAACCCAAACAAAGTGGTAAGGATTGCCCTTAAAATGAACTTCTCAATGTCTTTAATTTCTTTGCATTTGTGTACTTTCTCTGAAACCTAACCTCCCTAACTAACTAATTCAATAATAAGAAATTTCCACAACCACCGAATAAGCAGGCCCCATACTGCTATCACAGCTATTAAAAAATAATTTTTTGTGATCGTTGGCAGTTGGTTGCTCTGTCTGTATCCTTAGTTCATCTAGCATATTACAGTCCTGTCACATGAAAATAAATTTCTGAATACTGTTATATTTAACTAGTGCATGTTAGACAAGTTAAATTAAAATTCATGCCTCTTAATAATGTTTCATTGTGGTGTTTATTCAGTGTTTGACCTGGCATGCTTATGTAGTTTTCTCTCTTCCAGATGATGTGTTTCTCCCCAAGGACATTGATCTTGATAGTGTGGAAATGGATGAGACAGACCGTGAAGTGGAACATTTTAAGAGGTAAATAAAGAGAGGACAAACTGATTAGCAAAAGAATTCAATAGAGAATTAGGACAGGGTAAACTTGATCTTGGTGTCTTGCATGTGAGATGGAAAAGTCAGTTTTGCTTTCCGCATTAATAGACACTGCCAATTAGACCATAAGACATAGGAGCAGAAATTAGACCATTCGGCCCATCGAGTCTGCTCCACCATTCAATCATGGCTGACAAGTTCCTCAACCCCATTTTTCTGCTTTCTCCCCATAACTCTTGATCCCCTTGATAATCAAGAACCTATCAATCTCAATCTCAAATGTACTCAAATGACCTGTCCTCCACAGCCTTATGTGGCAGTGAATTCCACAGATTCACCACTCTCTGGCTGAAGAAGTTTCTCCATATCTCTGTTCTAAAAGGTTGTCCCTTTACTCTAAGGCTGTTCCCTCGGGTCCTAGACTCTCCCACCAATGGAAACATCTTCCCAACATACACTCTGTCCAGGCCATTCAGTATCGGTAAGTTTCAATTAGGTCCACACTCATCCTTCTAAACTCCAATGAGTATAGATCCAGATTCCTCAAATGTTCCTCATATGTTAATCTTTCCATTCCTGGGACCATTCTCGTGAACCTCCTCTGAACCTGCCCCAGGGCCAGTACATCCTTCCTGAGATATGGGACCCAAAACTGCACACGATACTCCAAATGTAGCCTGACTAGAGCCTTATAAAGCCTCAGAAGTACATCCCTGCTTTTATATTCAAGTCCTCTCAAAATAAATGCAAACATTGCATTTGCCTTCCTGACTACTGACTCAAACTGCAAGTTTACCTTGAGAGAATTCTGAACCAGAGCTCCCAAGTCTCTTTACACTTCAGACTTCTGAATTTTCTCCCCATTTTGAAAATAGTCCATGCTTTTATTCTTCTTACCAAAGTGCATGACCTCACACTTTCCCACATTGTACTCCATCTGCCACTTGTTTGCCCACTCTCCTAACCTGTCCAATTCCTTCTGCAGCCTTCCTACCACCTCAATACTACCTGTCCCTCCACCTATCTTTATATCGTCTGCAAACTTAGCCAGAATGCCCTCAGTTCCTTCATCTAGATCATTAATGGACAAAGTGAAAAGTTGTGGTCCCAACACTGACCCTTGTGGAACGCCACTTGTCACCGGCTGCCATCCTGAGAAAGACCCCTTTATCCCCACTCTCTGCTTTCTGCCAGACAACCAATCTTCTATCCATGCTAGTATCTTGCCTCTAACACCATGGGCCCTTATCTTACTCAGCAGCCTCCTGTGTGAGACCTTGTCAAAGGCCTTCTGGAAGTCCAGGTAGATAACATTCATTGGCTCTCCTTGGTCTACCCTGCTCATTACTTCCTCAAAGAATTCTAGCAGATTTGTCAGGCATGACCTCTCCTTGATGAAACCATGCTGACTTTGCCCTATTTTAGTATACACTTCCAAATATTCAGAAATCTCATCCTTTACAATGGTCTCCAAAATCTTACCCATGACCGAGGTTAGGCTAATTGGCCTGTAATTTTCCATCTTTTGCCATATTCCCTTTTTAAACAGGGATGTCACGTTAGCGATTTTCCAGTCCTCTAGGGCCCTTTCTGACTCTAGCGATTCCTGAAAGATCACCACTAATGCTTCCACTGTCTCTTCAGCTATCTCATTTAGGACTCTGGGGTGTAGTCCATCTGGTCCAGGTGACTTGTCCACCTTCAGGCCAATCAGTTTTACTAGCACCTTTTCCTTGGTGATGGTCACCATACTCAGCTCTGCCCCCTGACTCTCTTGAATTTTTGGGATATTACTCGTGTCTTCCACCATGAAGACAGACGCGAAGTAGTTATTCAGTTCCTCAGCCATTTCCTTGTTCCTCACTACTATCTCTTCACCGTCATTTTCCAGTGGTCCAATGTCCACTTTTGCCCCTTATATATCTAAAGAAACTCTTACAGTCTTCATTTATATTACTGGCTAGCTTACCCTTATATTTAATCTTCTCCCTCCTTATTTCTTTTTTTGTTGCCCTCTGTTGGTCTTTGTAAGCTTCCCAGTCCTCTGGTTTCCAGTTGCCCTTCACCACATTATATGCTTTCTCTTTTGCTTTTATGCTGTCCCTGACTTCCTTAGTCAGCCATCGTTGCCTCATCCTCCCTGTACCATGCTTCTTTTTCCTAGGGATAAATTTTTGCTGTGTCTCCTGAGTTACTCCCAGAAACTCCTGCCAATGCTGTTCCACTGTCTTTCCTGCTGGGCTCCTCTTCCAGTCGATTCTGCCCCGCTACTCCCTCATCCCTCTGTAGTCGCCTGTATTCAGCTGTAATACTGTTACCTCTGATTCTATCTTCTCCCTCTCAAATTGCAGAATACATTCTATCATTTTATGATCGCTGCCTCCTCAGGGTTCCTTTACCTTAAACTGCCTTATCAAGTCTGCCTCATTGCACAACACTAAATCCAACATTGCCTGTTCCCTTGTGGGTTCCACCACGAGCTGCTCCAAAAAGCCATCTCGTAGACATTCCACAAAGTCCTTTTCTTGCAATCCACTACCAAAACGTTTTTCCCAGTCCACCTGCATATTGAATCCCCCATGATCACTGTGAGTTTGCCTTTCTCACACACCTTTTCTATCTCCTGGTGTATCTTGCGCCCCAGCTCCTGACTACTGTTTGGAGGCCTGTACACAACCCCAGCTATGGTTTTTTTTTTTGTTTACCTTTTGCGGTTCCTCAATTCTACCCACTTTAATCTGACATTTATTTATAATTTGGTATCTTTTGACATTGTTCACAGAATAAAAGCTAAAATATCAGTTTTGTAATTGCCTTTGCATATTTCCACTCAACTTTCTATCAGTTTGATTTTTCTTGCTTGCTGTCCGTTTTGTTTGGCTTAAACTCTCATTTATTCTGTCTCACTTATGCACGCTCTATTTTCTTCTTTCTCTGTCTCTCGCTCTCTGTGTCTCTCTTTTTCAATTCAAACCAATGCATGGACCTAATCAGGACCTAAACCTGACACTGGGCAATGTCTCCTGCAAACTGAACAGCCACACAACACATGGGGACAAACAAGCAGCAGGCCTTTAATGTGCATATCATCTTAAAGTCATTGCACAACAAGGAGAAACTAGAGGAAATAACTGTGCATGCTGTGTACAGGTCTATATAACTGCTATTCCCATAGCATTAAATAATGAGTTCATGATGCAACAATTGACTTCCAGTCTTGAGATCTAGGTGGGAAGTAGCTGCTGTTAAATTCCTTCATAATTTCCTTGATGGTTTTTCTGGGGTATAGGTAGGAATTTCTGTTCTTCAGTAGTTCGTGAACTCCTGCTTACAGCATGAAGTCTGCTTACTGACTGAAGCAACAGCTGTCAGGAGAGGAACCAGATACAGCTGTAAGATCATCTCAGAAGGAGAATATATTTTGTGGGCAGTTCAAGGTTTGTTTGAATTTTCTTTTAAATTGTTTGATTTAACTCTTACCTTCCAAGGAAGATAAGAGTTCTTCTGCAAACTGAAGTGGGTTGGAGGATAAATTGCTGTAAAACTGGAAGCTTAAACAGAAGCACATATGCCTCTATAGAGTGAAGGATACCTGTTTAGTTAGTGTCTGTGATATTTTGATTATAAATTTGTATCATTTTATTACCATATATTTAGATGAAAAAAAGGTGTGTGTGAAAAATCAGTATATTTCCAGGAATTATGTCTGCTTACTGTCCAAAGGTGAAGAGATAAGTATTTTCTTCTCCGAGAGCTGACCTGAAATGCTGTTAATGGCTTTCATTTTCTTTTTTTTCACTTTGCCATTGACAACTATTATTACACGTTACATCTTTTTCCCAACATGCCGTTCTGGTACAAAGCTGTCTTCAGTTTTTCTTTCTGCCTCTCCTGTTTTGTCCTTCCTGAAGCTTTTTCTGTCCCGTATGTCCTGTCTTACTTCAGTCCTCAATCACACTAGATTTGTCACTTGTAGTACTCTCTTTCCTTGCTGTCACAGTCCCTGTTCCCTTGTTTATTTCTCAAACTTGTTCATTTCTGCACTGTTACTCTTGTGATATCTCTTTTTTTTTCTCTCTCTCTCTCTCTCTCTCTCTCTGAAATAAATGCTTATTTCATTTAGACTCCCCCTCTCATTACTCCTCATGGGTTCTCATGGTCAAAGTTTCCCTGCTGCTTTCCTGATCCCTTCTAGCTGAATGTGTTGTCTTTCTTATCTTGATATATTGCCTCCATCCTTCACACACAGTTGCTCACCTCTTCTGTCCCTCTTGCCCCTTCCTATTTGCTTCTCCCACAAACACATGCTGTTCCTTTTACATGTGTGTTTCATCATCTTCTTATTTGCTCCTGAGGCCATTTGCTCACCCCTGCACTCCTGCCATTAACTGCATTTCCTTAAGGGTTCTTGATGTTTGCTCATATCTTTTGCACAGGACAGAGGAATTTGAAAAGATGAATAGTCATCAGCCCAACAGTAGGTGGCTCAGTGGGTAGCACTGCAGCCTTACAGTGTCAGGAACCCAGGTTCAATTCCACCCTTGGGCGACTATCTCTGTTGAGTTTGCACATTCTCCCTATGTCTGCGTGGGTTTCCTCTGGGTATTCCGGTTTCTTCCCACGGTTGTGCAGGTTAGGTGAATAGGCTATGTTAAATTGCCCAGCGTGTCCAGGGATGTGCAGGTTAGGTGAGTTAGCCATGGAAATCCAGGTTTAAAGGCATAGGGTGGGGCTGTGGTTCTGGTTTGAATGCTCTTCAGAGGGTCAGTATGGACTTGATTAGTCTAATGGCCTGCTTCCACACAAGTGATTCTATAATATGTTGTGGCCTGTATTTTGTATTCAGTGACCAGGTGTTGGTGCTCGCTGCTGACCACAGCCTAAAGTGCCCCTTGCATGTTGCAGCATTCTTGGTGAGCATTGCACTGGTAAAGCATTCAAATGCCCCCTCAATGCAGGTTCCAGCATAACTCTACAGTGTGCTGTAAAGTGGAGATAAAGAACAGAACACACAGTGCGATGAATAGAAACGAACCCCATAAGATCTGTCGAAACAGGAGGTCTTGATATGCCTAGAAAATTGAAAATTATTTGTGTAATCACTTTTACAATGCCGTATGCATGTAAACAGAATTTAATAAAAATATAAATGTGAACAGAATAGACGTTTCAGCAAAAAATAGATCAGCATGTGGTATCAGAATAATGTTAAGCCATATAAACAACTATTTTAAAAATTCAGAAATATTCAGAATCACATTGTTAAATTTGAGGAGAAATGAAAAATCTCAACGCTGACATTTTGGGAGCTTGTCATCTCCCTTGTACCAACATCTTCAGTCACTGTTAATGAATTCACAGAGGAGGTTCCTTCCAATTCAACACCAGTCCTGAAACATTGTGGTAAGAAATGTTTGTTGTAGGTGGGCACTCATCCCAAATTTGCATCATTACCATTTTTTCCTTTTAGCATTACAAAATTACATTTGGAACAGGAGAGAATGACCCAGCACAGCTTCCAAGATTTCCTTGAGGTGCACTCCTGGAATTGCTAGTACTTTCATTGTAGTAATGATGGTGATGGTAACAGATGTGCTATCATTACCAATCCAAAAATTCAGCATAAGGATTCTAGGATGGGAGTTATATCATTGGAGTAAATAGAATTAGTCAAGTTTTAATGTCTGGATAAAAAGCAGGACCTATCCAACCATTTACCATCCCTTCAGTCTCCTCTTAATCACCAGTGAACTGATGGGAGGTGTCATCAACAGTGCTATCAAGCAGCATCTGCTCAGCAATAACCTGCTCACTGGCGCCCTCATATCTAAAAGTACTTGACAAAATATTATTGTTGTGTTATTTATTTCTGCCTTAATGGCTGATGGTTCACTTTGAGAAGATCTAATATATAAAATATAGCTGAGCTATTTCAGAAACTATCTATGAACAGTGCATTGCTGTAACAAAGCAACTATGACTTTATGGTGGCCATGACATTATCTTTCTCCATATGATGTTCTGACATATTGTTTTCTCTCTAGGTTTTGTCTTGATTCTGCCAAGCAGACAAGGCCAAAGGTCTCCGTGAACTGGTCCAACTTCAGCCTGAAAAAGGGGCCAAGTACAGCACACTGAAGATTGCACCACACTCTTGCCTAAGGAAAACTGGAATTATCCTGCAGTTAACACATTCCTTACCTTAATGGGTATTGGCCTGTTCTCCCCAACTCAAAGCAATTTGCTGTGATCGATAAACAACATGCTGTGATATCATCCACAACCAGTGCCTTAGCCAGAAGAAGTGCACATTTCTAACTGGGTGGCACAATTATTTCTTGGGTTGGTTTGTTGTGCTGTATGGTCATTGTGAGAAATGGTTCGTCAGTAGTGCTGACGCCAATGGAGCAATTCTGAATTTCGGTAGAAACCAATAACACAGTTTTATAGATGGACAATTGATTTTTTTCTTAAACGTTTTTTTTTCTCCTGGTTGGGAGGGGGAGGGGAGCAAAAGAGAGTCCGAAGAAATATGGGGTTGGGTATTATTTCTTTCAGAGAGACAAGGCAAACAAATTTTGTAGCACTTATCAAACGGATTAAAATGTATCTGTTGTACATGTGGACTATTATCGAACTGACTTTTAGAGGATCTTGTGCTCTTAATTATAAGCAAAACAAGCAAGTATGAAGATCGAATAAAATATTTCACCACTCAAATTTTGCACAGCCATGAGTGAAGCTTTACCTTTCCTCCTGTGGCAAGAAAAGTATACAGTAAGTGCTATTTTGGAATTTTTTTGGGGGAGGGGAAGGGAAGTAAAGGTGGCCATAAACGTAGTTGTCACCTACATGATAACGATACAGCAAAGACAACAGTTCTTGTCTTTAGATTTTATGTAATAAACTGAGAGAATAAGTAATGTGCTTTTTTCATGTGACAGATTACCTTCCCACAAGTCTGAGATGTTTATATGACATTTGTAGAATTTAAAAATATATGAAGAAGGGCGGTAAGCTAAGTTTCTATCATTACTTTCAAAACTGACACCTAGGTTAGAGTGTGCAGCCTGTTTTCCTGAATAAGTATGTAAGAGTCTGTAAAACACTGAAGTTGAGTCTTGATTGTGGAGCAATAGAAATTGCTGTAGTCCCCATTAAAACAAACAACTCAAGATAACTTTGATGGAAAGTACTCTTCCCCTTTTGGCTTTCGATATATTACCCAGCTGTATCGATGACAGCAGTTAATTGAGAACCCACGTAGTACGCTATAAGGAAATGTATTGTCAGGCTAATAGCATTGTAGTTAATTGTGCAAAGTGCTCATTATTAGTTGGTGTTGTATAGTTAAATTGAAAGCCTTACTTCAGCTTTCATCTCAATTTAAAAGCCCTCTTTCTTCTAATTACAATATCAAATTCAGAAGTGCTAGATCCCCTATTACAAAGATGGTTTAAAAAAAATGGGCACTAGAACAATATCGGTTGTCAGTCTGCTTGGAGCACAAATTTCTGATAACTGTTATCTTTTGCATTGAATACCAGCAATAATCGCAAATAACTTTGGTTTTGATCTGAAATCCAGTGTCGCCAGTGTACTGGGGTTGCAAATTATGAGAAAGTATGGAAGTGAAATGTGAAGTCTTTAAAAGAAAGCTTTGCAGTTACCGTTTTGGATTACAGCATGGGAGTAATAGAGCTTGTCATTACTTGGTGTAGTCATCCAGTCAGGTGTGCTGCAGTGCTGTTTTCATATAGCAGATTAATTGTATAGTGATCAGACACTTTGATTAGAGCCTATTTGCATTCAGTCCAAGTGCTGCATATGTCTTGTCAACAATTGAGCACGCTTAATCAAATTTTAGATATATCTATGCTAAAATTGATTTGAAATTTAATTCTGGTTTTTTAAAAATTAATCCTATTTCTTGAATTGCTGCCACATCCTACCCAAGGATTCTCGGGCGACACGGTGGTTAGCACTGCTGCCTCACAATGCCAGGGATCTGGGTTGATTCCACCCTCGGGTGAGTGTCTTTATGGAGTTTGCACATTCTCCACGTGTTTGCGTGGGTTTCCTCCAGGTGCTCTGTTTTCCTCCCACAGTCCAAAGATGTGCCGGTTAGATGGATTGACCATGCTTAATTGCGCATAGTGACCAGGGATGTACAGGCTAGGTGGATTAGCCATGGGAAATGCAGGGTTACAGGTATATAGTAATGGAGTAGGTCTGGGTAGGATGCTTTTCAGAGGGTTGGTGTGGACTCGATGGGTCAAATGGCCTGCTTCTGTAGGGATTCTATGATTCTAAGTACAAGGCTGTAATTGCAAGAAAGAAAGGAAAAGATGTGAGCCATGTGGTATCTTCATGGCAAGTATTAATTGCTGAAACAAACTGGTTGGTATCTGCTATAAGTCGTGGAATAGACCATACTTTGCAGTGTGTTATGCTGTAAGTTAATGGCTTCCTACTACACCACCATATTGGAGTGTGTAGTGGTGATTTATTTATATATATAAATAAAAAACCTGTAGTGGCCGACCCACTTTCATATTATGGTCAATTTCCAACTTGGAATTGATCATTTACAATAAACTTTATAAATGTGTCTAGAAACCACATTGTAAATATTTTGTGTATAGTGGTGTCAGGTGCGGGTAGTGTTTAATACACACCTGCACAATACAGACTGACAAACTTTATATTCAAGTGTTTTTATCTACTTCAATAACTCTCTTGGAAAAGTAAATCGGCTATAATCGTTGTAAAGTTCATTTTATGTGAAGATTAAATAAAATCCTCACCAATGTGATGGAAACTGAATGAGAGCCTTTGTTGTGTATTAGTGCCGAGTTGAATTTACATTGCAATATATGACTTGTGATTTCATCCTTTACTTTTCAATGCTGTCAACAGGTCATACTACTTGAACCCCAGGGTATGCATATCAGTATCACCCTATTCCCACAAGGTGAACAACACTATACTTGATTCATTTTATTTCTAAAATCCTGTTTCTTGGTTGGTATCCCATTTATATTGTTGCCTTATTATGTTTTTGTTAAAGAGAAAGTTTGCTTATGATATTTATAATGCATTTTTAAATATATTATAGTGGATGCTATTACAAAAAATCAATTTAGCGTGAATCAGGTGGCCATTATCATCAATCTGAGTTCATGACTGCATTGTAGATAATGTAAGATATAGGTTTGCTTATCATTTTCATACCCTACTGATCACTCCTGAAATTAATATCCAACCTGAAATGTAAGTTTATTTTCAGAGTGATTTTCATTATGAGAGAACAGTATGAAAACCCATTTTGCTTGTGAGGCCTTTTTCATACTTGCAATACACCTTGATATTTTTGGAAAGTGATACCCATCTGTTGAAGTAATTTCAACTTTGGGCACGATATCAAGGGCACATGTTTCAAGTAATTACTTGTAGTTATCAAGTTTAAAGATTTAATGTTGTCATTTTTTTGTCTGTTTAAATTGTAATTGTTAGTTTTGTTTTGTTCTATCATGTGTACCTTTTTTATGTTGTAACAAGGACAATTTTTTAATCTACTTAAAACCAAAAATTGTAGTTTTATATTATTTCCTGGCATTAGCCAGCTTGAACTACAACCTAATAGTATAAATTGACTGTTAACACTAAAGAATGTAGGTTTGTACTATTCCAGCCAAGTCTCTTTGGCATCCTTTCTTAAATTATGTACTGTGACTTGCCTTTCTTTTTGCAAGATAAATACAATGACTTGATGAAGATATGTGTACTTATTATTTAGAGATTTATACCCATTTGTAGTCTAGAAAGAAATGAAATTACAATCCTGCAGGTTTTCACAAGAAGTGGCATTTACCAATTAGCTCCAAATACAACATTCAGCCACATTTCAGAGATTTAATGTGTTTACTTTCAGCAATTGTCTGTGCAAGAATAAATCTTAACACGACAGAGTTGTCTAATGTTTATCGTCAAAACAGAAAATGAGATGTTAGGGGAAAGTTAAGTGGTTTTGATTTGGAGGCTTTTTGTTTGAATATAATTTATTTTGCTTGCTTCACTTGCTTTTAGTCTGATATTTCTGATAATAGTACTTGCTTAGAAAGTGACCCTTGCTAGAGAAATTTTGACTACTTGAGGTTAAATCCAGCAGTTAGTGACGAGAAGTAGTTGACAATAACCTAATTAGAACAAAGGCAATTATTTTCTTCTATACAGAGCATAGAGTTTCTGTTGAACTAGTGTACACATTAGTCTTGATTCCTTTACTGATTTAATTATCTGCCCATCTTAGCCTTGAATTTTCTTAATGATCTAGCCCTTACGTTTCTGTGAGATGAGAAATTCTACAGATTCACTATCACTAAATGGGAGATCCCATACTTTGAGATTTTGCCCTTTGGTCCTAGATTCTCCACAAGAGGGATCATCTTGCTATCAACCCTGTTCAATCCCCCCAAGTCTTTTGTGTTTCAACAAGGTCTCTTCTCATTCTTCTAAACTTGTGTGTACAGGCACAATCCACCCAGCTTTATAAGAAAATCCCTCCATTTCCAGGATCAAATTATGAAGCCTTTTCTGGACTGCCTCCCACGCCGGTGTATCTTTGCTTGAATAAGGGGACCAAAGCTGTTCAATATTTTAGGCGTGGTCTATCTAGCGCCTTGTATAGACCTGGTATTATTCACAATTTTTATGTTCAATTCTCTTTGAAATCAAGACAAAATTTCCTTCTGCCTTTCCTATTACCTCGTGATCTTGTATGCTAGGTTTTTGTGATTCATGCACAAGGACTCCAGATCCCTCTAATGTGGCTTTCTGCTGCTTTCCTCCATTTAAGAAACATCAACTCCTCTACTGCTACCAAAATACATAATCTGTCATTTTCCCACATTATATTCGATTGGCCATGTTTTTGCCCACTCACTTAACCCGTCTATATCCTGTAAACTGTTTGTGTCATCTCTATAATTTCTCTTCTGCTTATTTGTCGTCTGCGACATTGACTTCGCTCTTCCAGGTCATTAATGTACATAGGAAGTAGTTGTGGACCCAGCGCTGATGCTTGTGGGACTTCTCTAGTTAGAGGTTGCCGTCCTGAAAATGCCCCTTTATTCCAAGTCCGTCTCTACTACTCTTCTATCCATGTTAATATATCATACCCAATCCTCTTAATTAACTCTTAATTAGCTCTTAATTAGCTCTTAATTAACTGTGTGCACTGCCGTACTGAAATAGTTCTGGTGATACAAATATATTGCAACTCCTGGTTCCCCTTCATGAAATCATGTTGACTCTGTTTGAATATATTATGTATTTCTAAGTGTGCAGCTATTACATTCTTTATAATACTCTTAACATCTATGATTGGGAAAATGTTAAATTAACTGATCTTCAGTTATCTGTTTTTGTCTCCCTACCTATTGGAATAAGGCTGTATATTGGCAGCTTCCTAATTCTCAGGGACTTTTCCAGAATCTAAGGTTTCTTGGAAGATTAATACCAGTTGCATGCACTATCTTTGTATCTACTTCCTTTAATATCCCAGTATGTAACCCATTAGGTCAAGGGTCCCACCCGAAATGTCAACTTTCCTGCTCCTCTGATGCTGCCTGACCAGCTGTGTTCCTCCAGTTCCACACTGTGTTGTCTCTGTCTCCAGCATCTGCAGTTCTTACTCTCGCCGAGGTCAAAGGGACTTGCTGGTCTTAGCCTATTATAGTTTCTCTAGTTGTATTTGTACTTATTCCAACCCCACCCCATTACACCCTGGTTATTTCGTACTTTTTGGACTGCTTTCAGTGTTTTGTACTGTGACAACTTACACAAAATATTTGTTCAATTTCTCTGCCATTTCCTGATCTCTATTGTTATTTACCGAGGCTTATTCTCTCTGAGGCCCTCATTCACTTTGGGTCTGTTTAGCTTTTTTTAATATTTAAAGAAGCTCCTCGTCCTTTTTTAATATTATACTTGCTAGTTTATGCTCAGTTCATTTTACCCCTTTTTCAGGTCAGCTACTGTTTTTCTTTTAACCTTTCCCAGTTCTCTGGCTTACCATTAACTTTTGGCACATTGTATGTTTTTCCCTTTCAATTTAACACTATCCTTCACTTGCTTGGTTACTCATGATTGGTTTAACCCATTCCTAGAATACAACTTCTTCATCTTTGTTGTATTTTCTTACATATCTGTTGTTCTCCAACCATCCTTTCTGCTGAACTCCTTTTCTAGACCACTTCAGCCAATACTGCCCTCGTTCCTTTGTAATTACCCATATGTAAGTTTTTAAATGGTTGTTTCTGATCTAAGTTTCTTACCCGTACTGAATACTAATTTCTACCTTGTTATGGTTGTTATTTCATAGGGGATCTTTTGCTCTGCAATAAACTATTACATGTGTCTCATTACATAACCATATTCAAAATAGCCTAATTTATGGTTGCATCCACAACATATTGTTCTAGGAAACTACAAAATACACTGAACTTGTCCTCATGACCAATCTGATTTTTCCAATCTACATGAAGATTAAAGTCACCCATGATTAATGTGCTGATTAGCTTTATTTAGCCTATGCCAGTTTGCCCATGCAACAGTTAGTAATTCCAAGGTTATTACTTCGGAGTTCTGCTTTCTAATTTAGTCCTTAGTGCTCAGACTCTTCCTCAGCAGAAGCTCTCTTCTAATACCGTTAATGTTGTTGGTACTTTTGGATAAAACAGGTTGACCGTACTTGTTTACACAGGATTGAAAGTTTCAAAGGAGGTATCCAAGTATTGAAACCAGGAAGCAACAAAGCCTAATTGTATCTGAACGATTAGGGTGGCACGGTGGCTCAGTGGTTAGCACTGCTGCCTCACAGCACTAGGGACCCACACTTGATTTCCTGTTCAATTTCACAGGCGACTGCCTGTGTAGAGTTTTCACATTCTCCCCATGTCTATGCTGGTTTCCTCCAAGTGGCCAAGCTAAATTGTCCTAGTGTCCAGGGATGTGCAGGTGAGATGGATTAGCTGTGGGAAATGCAGGGTTAGAGGGATAGGCTGGGGGGATGGCAGTGGGTCTGGGTGGGATGCCCTTCAGAGGGTCAAGCATGGACTCGATGGGCTGAATGGACTACTTCCACACTGTAGGGATTCTATGAACAATTTAGCTATCCAGGAAGCACAAAAGAAGGCAAAGCAAATAGTGGGAATAGCCTCCAGAATTTATTTCCCTAGAGGAAACACGTAGCAAAATTGGTCAGAAAAGCAAAGATAACTGGAAGCTGTGACGGTAAAATTGGAGCCCCATTAATTGTGTAGAGCATGCTTGTGACTGATGCTCTAAGCAGAGATACATAGGGCAGTAGCATGTGTTAGTCTTCACAGTCATTCTGAGAAATAAGTGTTAAACACTTATTAAACGTAGTCAAGAAACTGAAGTAAAAGGGAAATTGAGTTGTTCCAAATCTGGGAATGTTTATGATGAGTTCTGAATGTATGAGGCTCTTTGAATTGTACTGTTGTACAGGCATTGTCATCTTGCAGTCTTCTAGCTGTTAATGGGTGCTTGCTTGGATGATGGGACCGGTTCAGTAGTAGTTTCCAAAGGAATAAAATATGTAATGAGTGGGACAAACTAGATTACTCTTCCACAGACTTGGACTGCATGATGACCTTGTGTGTACTATTCTTTAAAATTCAGTCATGAGATATGGATGTCATTGGCCAGGCCAGCATTTATTGCCCATCCCTAATTGCCCAGAGGGCGATTGAGAGTCAACCACATTGCTGTGGGTCTGGGTTCACATGCAGGCCAGACCAGGTAAGGATGGCAGTTTCCTTCCCTAAAGGACAAGTAGTGAACCAGATGGGTTTTTCTGACAATCAGCAACCGTTTCATGATCATCATTAGTCTTGTAATCCCAGATTTCGTTTTTATTGAATTCAAATTCCGCCATCTGCCATGGTGCGATTTGAACCTGGGTCCCCAGAACATTAGACTAGTAATCCAAAACCCAGATAGTGATAATTGTATTCTATGATTGAGTTCTGTTGCAGATGGTTTCAAGTTATTCGTGTTGTTAAGCTCCAGCAGTTGATTACGCCAACACCTTTGAGATGGCACGATGGCTCATTGGTTAGTACTGCTCCTCACAGTGCCAGGCACCCAAAGTTTTCCCCTACAGTCTAAAGATGTGCAGGTTAGCTATGGGAAATTCAGGGTTACAGGGATAGGGCGGAAGGTGAGGGTTGAGTTGGATGCTGTTCTGAGGGTCAGTGTGGACTCTATAGGCCGAATGGCCTGCTTCCACGCTGTAAGGATTCTATGAATCAATGGAATAGGAGTGAGGGAGAAGACATTGCTGGAGATCTGAGGTTACGGTTGTAAAGTTGAGTGGAACCAAGGATGGGTAGTCCCACTAAGCTGAACGCTTGATGAACAGATGTTCAAGGACAATGGAATAAAACAAAAGGTACTGGAGAACAGGTGTGGAGGTATCTGTGGAGAGGGAAACCAAAGTGATGTTTGAGTTTAATATGACCCATCTTTGGAACTGAAGAGAGATTGAAAGTGATGGGTTTATACTGTAGAAAAAGATGGGAAGAATGAGATGACAGAGAGTTTGAAATTGCATGTGTCACAGAATAAAAGGTCAAGGAAGTGTATTTAAAGATGAAGTGTTAACTGTTTTTCTCTCCACAGATGCTTTTAGACCTGAGTTTCTACAGTGCACTGGGATAAATTCCAGTTCAAGCAAAACCACCTCCCTG